TGAGGGGAGCCCTGAACCTTCGTCCTGCTCTGCCCGCAGCTCCCCTCAGCCTCACCCCTGCACCGTGGTCCTCATCAGTGGCACTCATGTAGCATCAGACACTATTGCTGAAACAGGTTTCCTGCCAGCAATGTTCTCTTTCCAACCTTAAGTTGGTGGTTCAAATCCACCAACCGCTCCCTGGAAGAAAGTTAGATATCCTCCCATATTTACATTCTCAGAACCCCGAAGAGCAGTCATCGTGAGTGGGAATGGTTGCCAGCAATGTGCTCCCATGCCTCGCTCTTGGCATTTACTGACCTCTGCTTACTGGCATCATTTACTGGCAGATGCTAAAACTTCAACAGAAGACTCCCCGTTTGTCCCCTGTACCATTTGCATTTGCTCGCATAGCAACAACCATACCCCATTCCACTTTTGTTTGCTTGGCTTTTGTAAGGTCAACATCTCTCGTTTACATGCCTGATCAATAGGAATTGCTCACTAATGGTAGATAAGTGGTAATTGTTGGCATCCACTTCCTAAACAACATGTCTCCGGAAAATCTACGAACGTGGATAAATATTGATGGTTACAGAAAGGCTTCAGGCCTCTTGTTCATAGGGTCGCTATGAGTTGTGCTCAACTTGAAGGCGATCAACAACAATAATAAATGTTTAATATCTTCCCGTCTTGGAGGGAAGACAGAAATTTGCAGGAGTATCTCCCTGAGTGGGAGAAATAATACCTCAGCTTGGTCCCAGTGACCTGCAACCTTACCTTGTGCTAAACCCTGTCCTTTTCCCAGTCCACACCAATCACTTTTTCCAGTTTTCTCATGTCCGAGTTGATCAACACTGTACTCTACTCAAGGCACATCAGTGGTGCAATTACGTTAGATGCTGAACAGTGAAGTAACTTAATAGTTAAGCAAGCAGTTGGAGCCCATAAGCCTCTCTGCAGGAGAAAGATTGGAAGTCTTTTACTATTAAGATTTGTTGGTATTGTTGTTGTTGTTGTTATGTGCCTTCGAGTTGACTGCAACTCATGGCGACCCTCTGCACAATAGCTCTGAATCCTGCCCTGTCCTGAGCCAGTCTCACTGCCTCTAACACACCTACGCCCATTACCCTAGTTATCATCTCAATCCATCTCATCATGGGTCTTCCTCCCCTGCTCTGTCCCTCCACCTTCTGAGCTTGATGTCCTCCAAAGACTGGTCTCTTCTGGCAACATGCCCAAAGTATGAGACAGAGCTTCCCAATGCTTGCCTCCAAGGAGAAACTTGGTTCCAACCATCTCTAGGACAGATCTGTTTGTTCTCTTGGATGTCATGGTATGTTCAAGACTCTTCTCCAGCACCACAACTCAAAGGCATCAATTCTTCTGTCACCCTTAGTCATTGTCTAGCTCTCTGATGCATAGCAAGTAATTATAAAGACCTGGATCCGGTGCACCTTAGTCACTAGACTGACATTGTTGCTCTTCAGCACTTTGGAGAGATCTCTGACAACAGATTTTCCTAATGCAATTCATCTTTTGATTTCCTGACCGCTGATGCAAAGAGTATACAGCCTTGAGAACCTAACAGAGGGTTGCTAGAAGTCAGGATACTAGTAGGCTGGGTTTGGTTTGGGTATTTTCCTCAATCGCTGAGCTCTGGGAAGGGAAACCCACTTCCCTGTCATTTCGTTCTTACGGTAGGGAGAGGTGGAAAGCCAGGGTTATTTCCATTACATCTTTCAGGGAGACTCTGGTCTCTTTCCCTAGGAAACTTAGCTGTAGGATGTATTTGTTTCAGAAAATGGCTCTTTCAGTCACTGGACTGCGGAAAGGAGGAAACAAAGGGATCCCACCCCTCTGTTGAGTTGAGAATTTCCTCCTTCAAGGATTTAGAATTATGACACTGTAGAATGTTAACAGTTTGGTATCGTGGCAAAGGTGTTTGTTTTATTTTGAAATCTTCTCGTTGAAATCTACTCCTCAACACCATATAGAGATGAAACAGGAGGCTCCAGAGATGAAAGGGTCGGACCAAATTCCCAGTTCATTGATGACAGGACTGGACCCAGAACTCCCAGGCTCTGACTGGCCAGTGCACTTTATCTCAGCAGGAGAGGCTGCCCAATGGGTGTCTCAAGAGTCACCTGGGATCTCAGACTTGGAACTCCGTGAATCTCTTGGGCTTTTCTTTTTCTATTTGACATGAAACCTAGTCTGTGCCTGGTAAGTCTTTGCTTTTACCTTAACTTTCTGCTAAAAATCATCTAATGTAATGGTGCAGACTCCTTCCCATCTCTTAGGTGCTTACAGCAGAATGGCTCAGTCTCTAGCACTGCAGTCTGTCCTTTTGGATTATTCTCATTTCTTAGGTATGTCCCTCACCAATACACACACAAGCTGTGATGACCTACAGGAAGCTCCATCCTGTCTTAACAGCCTTTTATGTGCTCCTGGAAAGGTTGAAAATGAGCAAGGCAAATGATCAGCTCTCCAGAAGACTCAAAAGACATTTAACACTCATTAGGGAGCTCTGGTGGCCTAGTGGCAAGAAGTCGTACTGCAATCCCAAAGGCACACAGTTCGAAGCCACCAGGTGCTCTGCTGTAAAGGATGGCAATCTCTTCCCATGCAACTTACTCTCTCTGAAAACCCTCTAGAGTCAGCTATGGGTCGGTTTCAACTCGATGGCACGCAACCACATCAGTGGCCTAGAAATAAGGACTTACACTGCCAATCCCAAGGCATGTGATGCAAATCCACCAGCTGCTCCATGCAAGACAGATGGGCAATCTCCTTCAGTGCAATTAATTGGTTCTGAAAACCTGCTGGAGGGTCAGCTATGGGTCAGTTCCCACTTGATGGTACAGAACAACAACATAACGGAGGAATATGGTACCTTGGTTTTTCCTCCCTCTAGAGTTGGTTTGGGGAACTGCCTAGTCAGCTTTATACCTGGTAAATGAAAACCAAACCTGATGTCTTCCAGTGGATTTGACTCACAGCGAGCCCACAGGACAGTAGAATTGCCCATACGTTTGCAAGGATTGTAAACCTTTACAGACTGTCACATCTTTGTCCAGTGAATCAGCCAGCTTGTGGGTTTAAACTGCTGACCTTTCAGTTAGCAGGAGAGCACTTATCCACTGTGCCACCAGAGGTCCTTTTGTAACTAGTATTACAGGTAGCAGGAAGAAGACATAGATTGGAGAGTACAGTGATATAGATGATTCAAAAAGGAACACTTTGGGGCAGAAAGATTGAGAATATAGATTCAGTTGAGTAATTATTACTATTCTTATTATTGTCTTAATGGCTTACTAGGGAGGTGGTATCTAATTTAAATCATGGGGGACGGGGGTCTCAATACAAGACACCAAGGCAAGAAGACAATCAAGCAAAACTTGTAGACCAGACTCATTTCCCTGAAGCTATTTCCTCCCCATGTTGACCAATTCTAATCTCACTTCCAGAGCTCTTTCCCTGCTGCTGGCAATTAATTTCCCCTTCCCCACCACCCCTTCCTTTAAGGCTGTCCCAGCACCAACCACAAGGCTCCTCTGATACCCAAACCAAGATGGCAGCCGCAGCCCACATACCAGCAGGTTGCTTTCCGTGGTGAGGTCCTGACACTGGCTGCTCTCCAGGCACCAGCCTCTCACTTCCACGGAGGCCTGAAGCAGCAAGGCCAGCAGCAGGGCCCCTGAGCGGCTGCAGCAGGACCGTGGCATCTTCCAGGCAGGCTGCAGCTCTGCAGAGAACAAACACGCTTGGTAGGACCCCTGCAAGGGGCAGAACAATATTGGCTGGACTGCAAGGAAGGACTGCAAGCCAACACTAACAACACACTCATTTGTGGAGCTCAAGGGTTTTTGAGGACAGGAGTAGAGCTAAGGCGATGGGAGGTGTGCCAGGCAGTGGTGTGAGTTGTGAGAGGAAGGAGGGAAGGGGCCTGGGTAACTATGCACAACCCTTTCCTTCATCTCCTGTGAAATCAGACCTGTTTGGGGTTCATGCTGGAAGCCATGTTAGGGCTCATTTGGCTCAGCCCCTCACTGGAGAGATGGAGTAAATCGATGCCCAGAGAGGAGCAATTACTTACTTGCTTATTAGTGACAAGAGACAGCTAATTTAAGTTTCCCACACAGGACTTTCCCATTGCACTATCCACATGGAATTGTAGTTGCAGCACTTCTGATCCAAGGGGCTGACTGGGGGGTGACTTGGGAAAGATTAGGCAGTCCAGAATTCCTGTTTAAGACAGCCATATCCTGTCAATCCTCTGAAAATCTATTCCCTGCTAATGTTAGGTTTGCATAAGGGCAAATAAAACTGCTGATGAATTTAAACAAAACTTCAACAAATCTGTTGTGCTGTCTGTGTCTGCTTCACACAGGTGGTCACAGCTACCACACTCCAGTTACTGTAGAGAGAAGTTTTTAGTGCAGGCTACCTATCACCCCTAACACCTTGAGTCCTTTAACACTATCTTCTGAGTACATTACAGGTCAGATCTCTTATTCTTTCTATCTCTCAAATGTAGTCTAAAATAACTGGACTTGGAGAGTGAAGGCGTGGAAAGAAAGTGGTGGGCAGACAACAGAAAGCAGCTTCCACTTTCAGTGAATACCCATAAGAGAACTTTCCAGGGTTCCAGAAAGGACCTTTGACTAGATGCTGAGGTCAAAAGATCAGTATGCAGCAAACAGGGGAGCAGAAAGTGGGGACCACTGATGGATGGTGCCCAATCCGTTCCCCACATCTCTATTGACCTTTTGTAAGCCCCCACCAAGAAACCCAGAACAATTTTCGATTTCAGAATATCTTCTCAGCCAGCCATTAGTGAGAAACTTAATTAGATGAGAAAAGTAATTCACATTAAGGTGTGGATGACTAACTTGTCTTGTCACTCCTAATGAACATTTGCATTTTAAAATGAGTTTTCCTGAAGAAATCTCTCAGTTGTTACATGTGGGCTATAACGTTGTAAAAGAGGAACCTTTGGAAGCACAAGCAAGCGCTTCCTTCTCTCTGTCTAACTTTCACCCCATTCCCTAAGAACTGAGCCAGCTCAGGACTCCCCACAGACTTGTTGCCTGGCCCTGTGTGCTCTCAGAGCAGCCATTAGATGGCGCTGGTAGCCAGGAAGCGGGCTCAGCAAGTCAGCAACCTCGAATAGTGAACAGGACGTGCTGCTTCTGGCATAGTCTGCTTAGGCTCCAGTTCAAGTCTGTAGCCCTAACTCGGTGGGCAAGGTGATTTAAGCATCTGAGATCAAATGCCCAGATGTTATAGAAAAAAGCAAATGAGAGTGTCATGTGACTATGGGCAAGTCACTATGGTGGCTTAATGGTAAGAAGTTGCACAGCCAACCCAAAGGCAGATGGTTCAATTCCACCAGCTACTACATGGGAGAAAAGTGGGCAGTCCCTTCCTGTGCAATCGATAGTCTTTGAAAACCTGTTGGAGGGTCAATTATGAGCCAGTTCCAACTCAACAGTACAGAATAACAACAACAATGAGAAAGTGGAAAGCTACCTGTGTAGAGAAAGGAGTAAAATGATGCAGATCTGATTGTCTCATCCACAGTATTTCAATCCTCCACAAAGTTAGCTGTTCTAAAATGACGTTTTTTTAAAAAAAAAAAACTTTCGTGTTGATTTCAGCCCCTCCTGACAAGCCTCTGAAGAGCGTTCCCTCTCCTTCTGCCTGCTGGTTGGGTTTCTCATTGGCAGTTCTCTCAAAGCTCCAGTCTAGGGTGCTAATCTGGAAATGACTTTTCTTTTTTCCATATGTATGATTTCTTTCCCCAACAATGAACAAGTATAACCTTGTGTCATTTTTTTAAGAGTAATAATGTAGTGGAGAGATATTGTTTGCTTGTTTATAAGAGGAACGAATATAGTATTCCAAAAATTGTAAGTATTGGAATTCATTTTTTTAAAATCTTGACATTATTTCTAGACAAGAATTACACTTATGAGAACTTAGTATGTGCAAATGAATGCTCTAGGAGCTAAATGAAATCCGTGGCTTGTTACTCTAAGATCACACACTGCCCATGCCTTTCTGCAAAGGCGAGAGGCACAGCGTTTCATCCTTGCACCTCGGCACATGTATCAAGTCCTGTGGCAAAAATGTCAAAGGAATGTTACGTTATTTATTTATCCATCTTTGGTGCAAACCTGAATAAATTCACACCTTCCTTGCCCACATCATCAGTCAGTGAGATTCTCCACTTTCCCCTCTGCATAAAGCCCATAGATCTTTAGGGAGATTCAAATATCGTACAGAACTCCCTCCTTCACTGGCACACCCCCTTACACACACCCTTACCTGAGCCTCCGCCACTCAATTGTCTACCCTCCCCCTCCCCAGCCTAGGGTCTTTGGGAGAGACACCCCTCACTCCCTCTCTTGGGTCTTTGGGACAGACTTCTATGCTGTGATGGGGTGCACGGTAACCATGTTTCAGAACCTTGGACAGCCCCCACTATGAGCACCCGTTTTCAACGCCTGAAGGGTCTTTGAGAAGATGGGCTTGAGTGTCCTGTCATGAAATGGACACAGGAACCACAGGGGTAAAGGGTGGGTGGGGAGACATAATCGTAGGGTGCACAATTTGATGGGTGGAGGGAAGAGTGGGTTAACGTAATAGGAAAGATCTGGCGGGAAAAACAATGTATATAGAATTTGTAAGTAAACCAGTATATAATAATAATTTTTAGAAAAACAAGAATCATGTCATTGTCACGGGGAAACCACGTCTGATACACTAAGGTGACCCTGGACATGAGGATTCAGGAGTCTGAGACCCCAATCAGTCTGTAATGCAAAGAGTTGATTCTGACTTTTTAACTTTCCTCTCTGCCCCATTTCCAATATTCACTAGCCTATAAATGCTTTCATTTTAACAAGTGACTGCTATTCAATAAATCAGAGGAAGAGGAGTCAAGATTCCTGGCTCTCCCCAGAGCACGCAGCACGGGGGTTCCAGTTGCCCCAAGTCCCTGGGGAGAGGGTGGGTGGGTAGGGTGCTGGACGCCAAGTCCCCTGGACGGGCGCCCCTGTGGGCATCGCAGGCGTCCTGAGCGCCACCGCTGCTGCAGCTCCGCTTGGGTGGCTTCTCGGTTTCAATCAGCACAAAAAGTTTTCTGAGAACCGAGGACCGCGGAGAAGCAGCGTTCCTAGGTGGCCGAAGCTCCCAGGTCCCCAGGACACAGGGTCCCGGGGTGAGAGCTCCGCGCCACTGTGCCCTTACCTGTCTGGGGAGGTGGAGGTGGCTCTCAGGGACTCTCCCGCTGCCCTGGGGCGAGGATCCTCGGCCGCTGTCACTTCTCTTCCCCTCTGACCCTCCTTCGCCGCCGCCTGCTACCCGTCGCTGTCCTCGGTCCTTATATACCTGCAGGGCCCGCCCTGGTGGGCGCTGGACCTTCCCAGCAGCCCTTTCCAAGCGCAACAGCCGCGTCGGTGGGAACGCGGGCGGGGGCCGGGGAAGGAAAGGAGGGGGCTTCCAGGTGGGGCCTGAGCGAAAGGGCAGCGTGCCTGCAGAGGGGGCTGTGGGCCTGCGCCCCCGCAGGGAGGCTGGAATTAACACTGACCTGCTGACGGGCGCACCTGGTGAATAGGGGCGTCTTAGCACCCTGGTGTGGGGCAGCCGAGGATGAAGTTACCCGCGTGCGTGCTCTGGCTGGCATCTGCCTCGGTCAAGTCCAGAGGTGAGTATCACCGCAAAGTGTGTGCGTCTGCGATGCCTCAAATGTTCTCAACCTTTAGAAACTGTGACGTGAGATGTCTTGGACAACTGGAACCTCTCTTCCAGATTGAAGGTGGGAGGGGGGCTGCAGAGAGAGTCAGGGAGTCATCCCTGTGTGTCCTCTTGAGAGTGAGACAATGTCTTCCACGATGTCTGCTCCTACACACACACACACACACACACACACCCCGCCCCCTTCTGTGCCCCAGACTCCAAGAAGAAGGGCCCTTAAACCATAACCAGTAGTAGAGAGGAGAGCACCGGAAGAGCAGCTGAAGACTCTCTGTGGGAGAGCGGACCAGGGACTCAACATCCAGCCTGGCCTTTGTGTTCCGACTGTCATCCCAGATGTCACACCTGGGAGAAGACAGCACCCAACCCTGCAGTGGTAGTAGCTCTGCCTTAACAAGAAATAAGGAAGCAAACCCAAATTGAGAGGAGTCCTGGGGATTGGGAGGCGAAGGGAGATGGAACCAAGATGAACTTCAAATCAAGGTGCTTGTTGAATCTTCTGGTGATAGGGACTTTATTTCCAATGAGATGCTCTTTTGGACTTTACCCAGACTGCTCTGAGGATTCCGCTTTTCTGACTGATGACATTTGATTTATTGTTGTTATGTGCCATTGAGTCGCCTGCAACTCATAGCGACCCTATATACAACAGCCCTAAACCCTGCTCTATCCTGGGCCAATCTTACTGTCTCTAACACACCTACCCCTTTGCCACAATCACTGAATCAATCCACCTCATTGAGACTCTATATCCATTAATTATTTCCTTTTGCACCACAAGAGAGATCCAAGCTCCATGATAATAAATAGGGCTTTTTTCCGCTTGGCCTCAGCCTCATTTCACACCTCTCCTTTCACTTCTGGCACTGGAGTCACTCACACATATACACACCTATGAATGCTCCTTTCCCCATGCTATTCCTCCAACCAGGACCCCTTCTTCCCTCCGGTAAGTCACCCAGGA